GACGACGACGACGACTTCCCAGCCCGAAAGGGGAGAAAGGCTGGGCATCTGCCTCCCGGATTCAAGGCCAAGGTGAGGGCCCCGAAGGGCCGCTCGCACGAGGAGGACGACGAGGACGAGGGCTTGGACATCAAGAAGTTTATCAAGAAGGGCCTGGCTGCGGGGCAGGCCCCGGCGGACCTGATGCCACTGATGATGATGAACATGATCTTGGAGAAGAAGGATGGCAAGAAGAAGCGACGAGATCGAGGAGACAAGCGCGAGGTCAGCATCCTTGGTGGCTCGGACTCCGAAGATTCCGACAGCGGAGGCGAGTACTTGGGGAAAGGTATGAAGGCCGTCACCACTCTACATCGGCTCCACGAGAGCATCCGGCGCCGGCCTCGGAGGATCATAGAGCAGTTCGAGCAGGAAGTGCTGAAGGAGCTGGGGGTGGTCCAAGGGCAGCCATGGACATTGAGAGATTGGGTGAGGAAGCAGAGCTGGGGAAAGTTCAAGGGGATCCAGCGCTGCGCGGTCCAAGATGTGGAGGTCTACGAGCTGATCCGCAACAACGAGCATCAGGCAGCAGTTGCCCAAGTCATCCAAAATCTCAAGTCGAAGGTGCAGTGCGTGCTACAGGGAGGAGAGTGGCAGACGGCATGGCTACTCACAGGATTGCAGGATCCTTTGACGAGAAAAGAATTCGGCGGGAGCCGAGAAGAGATGGCGATTGTCTCCTCTTACATCAAGGCCCTACACGATCTCAAGAAGAAGGTCAGGGAGAACCAGGCGGCCAACACCGGAGGCGACGACGACGACGGAGACGGTCAAGCCGCTTCGTCCCGCAAGTAGCCACCGATCAATCATCGCAATCCGGGATTGGAGAGCAGGTTGTGCACCCGGTCCTGGAGGGTTCGAATTCGAATTTTTCAAATTATGTGTTCTGGTTCGAGAGTGTCCAGGGTTATTTGCTGGAACGGTCCGGCGCAGATACTCCTCTATTTCCGTGCGTGTTGCCCTACCCGGAGGTTCTCCTTACTGAGGGTGCTTTCTTGGATGCCCCGCAGGTGGTAGATTGGTGGACCAAGGCCTTTGTCAATACTTTTGTGGCCTGGGGAAACTTTATCACTTTAGGGTGTCCTTCTGAAAGGGGCAGTGGGTACGAGCCGCGGGTGGGCTACAGATGTCTTGCTGATGCACGGGCTTTTGCAGACAAGCTCCTTGGCGAGGTGGAGGAATTCGTTTGTCTTGAGCTTGCTTTGGGTCGCCTCGGTTGTGATGGCAAGCGGGGATGTATAGAGCACTTACTGGGGCAAGTTCATTGTACAGGTGCTGCGTGCTATGCTGGCTTTGCCCAGGTTAAGGGGAAGGTTTCGACAGCTTTACCAGTTGTGGCGGAGCGAGTTGCCATGCCGGAGCAGGCGGGCAAGGTTGATCCATGCGAGTGGTTGCCACCTGATCGTGCGGAGGTGGTGCGGCACTTGGACCGGCTGCGGAAGCCGGAAGAGACGTGGGAGGAAGTGGTCGCTTCCTGTCACCGAGTACCTCCCGAGGAAGAGGATGCTTTAGCTAGGAAGCTGGTTGCCCATAACATGGCAATCCCGGTGCGTGAGGACCTTCTTCCGCGTGATCGTGATGGTCGCTTGCTGGTCGGGGGCTTATTCTCGGTGGCAAAGAACGAGCTAGAGGACAGGTTGATATTTGATAGGCGTCCGGAGAACGCCGCCATGGAAAGGCTTGAGTGGGCAAGGCTACCGAGCGGGGCTTGTTTTACTCGTATGATGCTTGAAGAGGATGAGTACTTGAGGGGTTCCGGGGATGACCTGCGGAATTATTATTACACACCTAGGTTGCCTGAAGACTGGATCAAGCACAACGCGGTAGGTCGGCGGCTCTCTCAGTCATTGTCGAAAGAGCTAGGGCTACCTGAGGGAGTTCATCACCGACTTTGCTTCAGGGTTCTTGGCATGGGCGACGTGAATGGATGTGACATTGCTCAGGCCGTGCATGAAGCTGTTCTTCAGAAGCGTGGTGTCCTCAGCGAGGGTTCGGCTCTGATCTATGGTACTCCGGTCCCACGTGGCCCTTCTTGGGAGGGAGTCTACATCGATGACCTCCTCATCTGCCAGAAGTGCCGAGTCTCAGACGTGATCCCCCAGGATGGTTCCTTTGTTGCCCCCCCGCCTCAGGAGGACGACGTGGACGTCCAGAAGGTGGCTCAGGCGGAGATTGCATATGAACAGGCCGGACTTCTTCGGGCAGTACATAAAGCTTTCCGTTTTGAAACCCGATTCAAGGCATGGGGAGCAGAGATCGATGGCATCAAGGGCCAGGTCGGGACCCCATTGACAGTGCGGAGACAGTTGTGGATGCTCCTGCATAAAATCGTAGCTACTGGTTGGTGCTGCCAGGAGGTCTTGCGTAAGATGCTGGGGTACTTGTCCTACGTGTTTCAATATCGACGTGAGCTCTATTGTTTGCAACATCATGTGTATAGATTCATCTCGAGCATGCCGCCAGAGGGATGGGTCAGGTTGCCTGCGTACATCCTGGACGAGTTGCGTTCCTATGCCTTGCACTTACCATTCTCCTTCTGGAACATGCGCAACACTGTGAACCCCACGCTGATCGCCACTGACGCTACCCCGACGACAGGTGGATCCGTTTCGACGAGGATGCCCACTTCTTTGGCTGAGGAACTTTGGCGCCTCTCTGAGATGAAAGGGGAAGCAGTTCGGTTAGATGGTGATTGCATTGAAGAATTGTGCATGGAGGAACCGAGGGAGCCTTCTTTGGTGGCGAGCATCGTGGGCAAGAGCATGCATTGGAAGGTTACGGGGTCGTATACATTTCGGCAAACCTCTCATGTCAACCTGCAGGAGCTTCGAGCACTTCGCCGAGAGTTGGTCAGGATGGCCGCCGCTGGAGAACATCAAGGCACCGTGGTAGTGGCGCTAAATGATTCCAGAGTCGTGGTGGGAGCCGTGTCCAAGGGCAGATCCTCCAGCTTCAAGCTCAATGGCATGTTGCGTGGGTTACTTCCTCATCTGATTCTGGGTGGTGTCAGTGTTGCCTTATTGTGGATCGAGACAGCGGCAAATCCGGCTGACTACCCGTCCCGAGGTCTGTCGCTTCCCCCTCCTCGTCGTGCACCAGGTTGGCTGCGAAAGCTTGGGGTCGCCCGGAATTGCATCATAAAGGGGCTGGAGGTCTTTGCCGGGGTTGCGGGCATCACGAAGGCTCACCTGGAGGCGGGTTTTGACATGGGGCCCCCAGTTGATGTCCTGTACGGACTGGACGCAAGGTCGGCTTGGATTGATGAGCAGATCGAGGCGGGTTTGCTATATTGGCTCTGGTTGGCTCCACCTTGCTCGAGCTTCAGCGCCTTACGTAACTTAGATGCTGGTGGCCCACTACGTCCCAAGGATCACCCAGCAGGAAATGAGTCCGTCCCGGAGGTGGCCTTAGGGAACGCTTTATGGCGAAGGGCTTTGCAGTTGGCATGGAAAATCCTGAATGCAGGCGGCTACTTCTTTTTGGAACACCCACGGGGAAGTATGGCCTGGGCCCTAGCTGAAACGCAGCAACTCATGTCACACCAAGCGGTTTACATGATCACGTTGGACTTCTGTGCTTACACCGGGATTGAGGGCGTCCATGGAACACAGAAACCCACCAGACTGCTCACTAACGCACCATGGGGACGTGGGTTGGGCAAACGCTGCCCAGGAAACCATCATCACCCACCGGCATTGAGAGGGGCCCGAGCTAAAGCGGCAGGCGCATATCCTCCATCCTTTTGTGCTCAGCTAGCGAATGCCTTCGCGTGTTGGGCGGCTACGCAATGCTAATCTGACTCCGGCATATCGCCGGGGCTTGAGGGCGGCTTCCCAATGGTTGTTTGACCTGACCGTCCTCCTTGGCTACAAACTGCGCCGGCATTCCTCACCCTCTGTGATTGATCGAGCTTTGGAGCGGTGTATCGATCATGCCTACCAAAGTGGGGAAAAGCTGTATTTTGTGAGACTCGGTTTGATTGGGGTCCAGCGGGCGTGGCATCTATCCGGGCCGTTGCTCCGTGGGTCGTGGGCCGCCATTACAGGGTGGCGAGTCCTACAGCCAGTACGTTCCAGAGTACCGATGTCCAAAACCATTCTGAAAGCACTCCTCATCACTCTTCTTGCTACAGGGCATTCACAAAGTGGTTTTGTGCGGGAGGGGTACTGGGGAGCGATGTTAGCGACGTGGCTTGCATTCGAGGCGCTCCTGAGACCTGGCGAGACCGAAGCTTTGCGAGTGGAGGATTTGTGCTTCCCGTCTGCTATGCCCGGTGAAGACTCAGAAGAGGCCCTGGTGATCACCATCAGAAAACCCAAAACACGTAGGCTTTGGCAAACACAATTTGCTTTAGTGCGCTGCCCTGAACTGGTGAAGTGGCTTCGTTGGTGGGTGGAAGAGGCACCTTCCACAAGGCTTCTTTTTCGTTTGGGGCGGAGACGTTGGTCGCGGCTTTTTGGGGAGGGCCTAGCAAGACTGCTTCTACATGACCGGGGATTCACACTTGGCAGCCTGCGCAGTGGCGGAGCCACATGGCATTTCAA